TCCTGTCAATGTTAAGAAGTTTAACGGACATTGGTAGGAATGAGTGCTTATAGCGGTTCAGCCTGCTCTTGGGAACCCTGAATCTTCTACCAGAAGGTAGGAGCTGGAATTCTGGGTGGAGTATGTGGGTGGGATCAGACACTATTTTGTTTGCCTGTCTGATAATGGACTGCTCATATATGTTTTGGAGAGATGGGTGTTTTTTAACCCCCATAATTTTCATAGCCGTCTGTACCAGGCGAGCGATCTGTGACATTGACTGCACTGTCAAGTTACCGTACCAGGCAGTGATACCATACCTAATGATGCTCTCCAACACTGCATGATAAAACAGATGGGGTTTCGTAGTTCTAAAACAAATGTGTGTCATAATATTAGGGGAGCAGAAATACACAAAAATAAAATTGATTACAAATAGCTGAATAAAACCTCACACGATTAAATTACAGTAGGTCTTTGCATGTAGTCAGTGCAGCAGACTACCCCTATTGCCCTTTGAATCTTCAAAAAATGAACAGAAAAAATAATAATTACAGATCATAAAGTGTGCACAATATTAATTATCACATTGAAATTGTTATTTATGCATTGAAGGATCCTCTGACATTCAGTGCTATGATTTCTATTCTTGTTTGATCCATGAGCAAAGGAGTAGACAGTTGAAAGGAAGAAAAATATGAATTGAAAGATGAAAGTAGAAAACAATTCTCTTTGGAAAAGATATGCAAAGGAAACACTGGAGAGTGTGGTGGCTTTGATCATTCTGCCATGAAGTCTGAGGTTTCAAGTTTGAAGGTGGTAAATTGGCACACTTAGCCAATTACTTCCCAGCGCAGGGATTTTTCGAAAGGCCATTGCACATGGTCACCATTTTCTCAATAGTTTTTAGCTTGAGCATTTTTATGGGCTCCTCATTGATCATGTACACTCCAATTAAATGGGTCAACCTACACAAAAGCAAATGAAGCGGTCTACCAGCACTTTTATGGTCACCAGTTTCTCGACCAATAGTTATTTGCTCATGAGTATTGTTGGCCATTACCAGTAAGTAAGCATTTAGTAGGTTGACAAACTCATCCAAAATGATCAGCCAGTGACTTTATTCAAGCTTTAGTTTTAAAAAATATGACGTCATTAGTGGTTCTGTTTTTTTTTTTTATTGTTATCCTTTTTAACACAATGCCTGGTTGGTCACCTTTACCTTAGGAGTCCAAGATCATTTTTTCAATTTACTTTTTTATCCTGTTACCAATGAACTTTTGATGAAGAGAGGCTTATATATTTGACAGAGGAAAAGGCCACTTCACTGCAGTAAAGACGTCATTTGCATAGTGTCTTTGTACAAGAGTAGAACCTTTTATCTTCTGCTGTCCAGGTTGTCAGGGCCAAATGGCCAATAGAGAGAGATTACACTTCAAAAATCATTGACTGAAGTACTTCTCTATGGCGTTAGTTCTCTGTGGTTTGCCATGCCATCGCTGGAGGTGACCAGGCATGAAATCCCATTGACACTGTCTAAAAGGCCATGTAGCTGCTGTTGCTAGGAGATTAAGTTTGGAACAAATGTGTCAATACTGCCTAATGAAGTTGAATGTTCACTGTCATCAGGAGTATTGCTCTGAGAGACCACTCTGTTTCATGCTCATTTAATCCTCCCATTATTAAGTGCTATTATAGCAAGGGATTTCAGTTATACGGCTGAAAAAGATGCATTGCATAATGTTTATGTGATTTCTAATGATGTAATTGCTATTATGCTCAAAAGTTGCATAGAGATAGATTTAACATGAATATAACTTATTATGGTTCTCTTAATTGTTGGCTTTTATGCAAACACATTTAATGATGTTTGTCACTTCTCAGAAGAGAAACCTTTGCAACCTGCTTTTTAAATAAAAAATGTGCGGATACCATGTTGAAACAATGCTTTCCCACCGCCATACAAATATACATATTCAAACACTGTTTCATGAAGGGATAGTTACATGATCACATAAGGGAACTCAGGAGGAGAACGGTACTGTTTTGAATAACAAAGTGCCTAGTGATAATAAACTAAGTAGACCAAATGTGAGTGAAGAACCCAAAACAGCCTTGGTGGTAGTCCCTGCTACAGTAGGGGTCTCTGGGACAAAAGGTCACAATGACAACACACACCCACACTGACTCGCCAGGTGCAGACAATGCCAGCCGCATGCTGGGGCGGCTTGTAAAAAAGGATTTGCAAATTGTCGACCAACAAACAGCATGTCAGCAAACTGTTTACTTCATCTTTGAATTCGTAGAACAACAAACAAATCATCGCCACTGATGGAATGGTTGTGGACTTGCAACCCTCACTCCCTCACTCACACACACTCACAGATGAAAACAAGCTTTTATTCATCCAACTCCATTGTCCACATATGAAAATAGCTGAACGAGCAAAAGGAGGTCCACAAGGCACTGTTCCTGCTCTGCGCATAGCTCTCTCATACTGTATGTGCGGCACATTGGGAATAGATGGCTACTGTCTTTTTTTTATGTATCTGGTACTGGTGCTCCTGAAGGACACCACCACTTCCACACGCCAAATGCTGCAGGTAAATACAGACAGTCATCTATATTGAGATAAATTAAGAAGGGATTAGACATCCAGATCTAAGATGTCAGCCCCATCTGTCTGAACTATCCCACTGTAACTGTAGGAGTAGGTTAGATCAGCGACGTGCAGTCAGGGGAGGCAGAGCCTCACCTGTCATACTCCAATGTAACGGAAAAACAACTAAAGAAAAACTAAATAGTAATAATAATAATAACATGTCTCCACTGATCTGTGTTGTAAGTGTGATTTCTGTATGATTCCAATCGCTTTTTATAGTCAAAATCAGCAAATTGGCTGAGCTCCGCTACAACTCCTACATGGGAGCGATGAGGAGTGAGGCAGGGACGAGCTCTGCCTCACGTAAGCCCACAGTAACTGGCTGGAGCGCGGGCACTAATGTAGCGCGGGCACTTATTTTGTGAGTGCGCTCAAGCCAGTTACTGTGTGGTGAGGTGAGGCACAGATGAGCTCTGCCTCACCTCAGAATGCGTCACCCCACAGAAACTGGCTGGAAAGCGGGCCCGAAGCGCATGCCTGCACCATCTCACCAGTGGCGGTGCCAGAGATTTTCTCTAGGGGGTGCTGTGGGGTAGCTTGACGTTTCATAGAGGGTGCTCAAACATTAAACATTTTAAATATTGAAGTTAAAAGCATCAATCTGGTGCACTTTGAGAGCAACATTAAGAGATCTACTATGGATACATCTCTCAACACCCATATGAAACAGAACTGTCAACAGATTTTCTATTTCTTTATAGATATTTTACAAATCACTCCCCTTTTAAAACAAACCGTTTGAGACCCACTGAGATAACTAGACTAAAGTTAACTATCTAAACACTCAGAGAGTCCTTTACTTCACCTGAGCTGAGGTTATCTGAGACTCTCAGTCTGACAGGAGAGAGTTCTCCCTCCACCTTGTTGTTGAAAAAGCTCCTTATATCCGTTAGCTTGGCTAGCTAGCACCAGATGCTAACCACAACGATCTCCGGTAGATACCCACCGGTGCGCGAGCTCTCTCTCGCTCGCGCATGCACACAAAATGGCTCGTGCCACACACACACAGAGCAGAGCTTGAATGAAACACAGAGACCCAGAAGTAAGCTACTTGTACTCACGAGGCCTATTATGTGCAGAATCCCTCTCGCTTTCAGGTGATTTTGATTGAATGTCCACACGTGGACGTTTAAGGACTAAAAAACGATACAGTTTTCACTTTGCTGTTAGCAAATAATTTGGCGCTCTAGCTAACAGGAAATCACTCAAGTGTCACAAAGTAATTTAGCCTATGGGTAGGTCAAAAATCTAATGGGTGCTGGCCATTGGCCTAATCATATCACCTGTGTTGGCTTTATGTTTTTGGTCAAAAATGTGTTTGTTTCACATTTGCATTGATGTAATCAATAATTGTTCTAATTTTATTTAATAAAAATAATAATAATAATTTTCGAAAAAAAACAAAAAACATATTTTTCTTGGGGGTGCTTTGGCAATCCTGGGGGGTGCTTCAGCACCCCCTAGCTCCCCCCTGGCGCCGCCCCAGCATCTCACTGTATGTCACCAATGTAATGTTTGTAGATCCCTTTATTACCTATATGATATTTAGGCTCGCTGGTCTCATCATACAACGGCAATGAAAAAAGCACCAGGGGAGGCAGCCATAACCTCTGCCGCACTGAAGGGGGCGCACGTGAGCCCACACACTGTAAAAATAAATAGGGTGTTTTAACTTATAAACATAAGTTCAAGGGCTGCCTCATATATATGAGTTGACTTAAAGTACAAATGTACTTTAAGTCAACTCACAATTTTAAGTAGTACAAGTTATTTTACTAATGATCATTCATTGTTATAACTTAATACTGTGAGTTAAAGAAACTCACACTTTTACATTATAGGTTCAAGAAATGTTCATTATCTAGTCAAATCAACTTGAACTTCTACCTTATCTTAACTCGCAGCTCTAAGTTAGGATAACTTTAACTATATTTATACCGACTGACAAATTCAAGTTATGTTGACTCATGTTTTCAAGCAATTGAACTTACATTTTCATGTTAAGTAAACTAGTGTTTTCTATTTCTAACTCTTATTATAATGACAAGTTCCCCAGCTTCCTTAAACTTCTTACCGACTGAACTTAGAACATTAAACATCACCCACATGCATATAAAAGGGATCAAGGCTTGAAGTTACTTCAGATACTGAAATATTTTTATTTTTCAAGTATATATATATATATACACACACACAACAAACATACACATTATAAAATCTAATATATGTATAATATATTCATTTGACTAATAGGACAGAGTGTGCAGTGCAAACGGTACGAAACAAAGAGCTTTTTGAACATTAAGTTCTTTCTATACATCAGCAGGAGAGGACTCTCAACAATGTCCTCTTAAAATCCAAGTTTCTTCGTGACATTTCAAACATTAATGGAATTCTCACTAACCTAAAACATTTTTATTTTTAAAAAACATGTCACTGTAGAGGCAAAAATAACATACAAATGAAGAACACCAAATTGAACTGTACACTGTTTGACGATCTAGCTCCTAGCTAGTTTGTTTTTTAGGCCTTGTATTTTGGCAGAGGCTTGGTCTGGCTGTATCTTCAGGACAACCCTCTGGAGGAACTCAAAGGAAAACTTCATTTCCAGAGGATACTGAAGATTCAAGCAATAAATCAGTCCAAGAAGCATTGCAAAGCCGCAAGCCACATCCTTCAGGTTGTGGAACACGATGGTCTCCTCGACCACAACTGCCACGTTGAAGATCTGCTGAGGAAAGGCATCCCGTTCACCTTCGTAGCCTATCAGTAGACCAACTTGCATCCCCTTCATGGCTTCCTCAAGAGTGTCTCCATGAGCCTTAAAAAAGGAGAAATAAAAGTGAGCTCAGTGTATTATAAGTACTTTTTTTATCTACAAAGCTAATTAAGAGGCCTCTGCTATAAACATAGAAGCTAAAATCTACAGTTCACAGTGTTAAAGTGCAATGTGATGGAACATCATTTCAATTGCCTCCCTTTTCACAGTTTGAGTTATATATTTATTTATATTATTTAATAGTTAAACATTTATTTTCTTGCTGTTTTTGTTTATATTAAATGTATCATTCTTTATTGCAATTATTTTAGTTAAATTAAGGTAATTGTAAACATTACTTTTAAAGGAAACTTTGGGCACAGGGTGATTTATGTTAAAATGTACAATTACATAAAGTAATTAAAGACAATTATGATCTTACATCACACATCCTGATGACATTTGCCTGATTTTTGCCAGACAAGTAGTGTGATAGTCCCAAGAGAGCAGCAGTCCTCCTCCTCTCATTTGTGTTCTGCAGGACAACAAATGCAGTGGGATATAAACATTTGTAGCAAACAAATGGTGGCTAAATTATGGTCATCAGCATCTCCACTTACATCTTTCTCAAGGCAGTCCAAAATGCCTTTTAGTGCCGGTTTCTTTCCCGTCCTGGATGCACCTTTGTAGACTTCCAGCAATGTTGGGGCCAGGCCATCAAGTCCATCCAGAAACGATGACAGCAGGTCCATAGTGACAATTCTCTTGAACTCTGCCTGAATCTGAGGAGACACAGACATATAGAAAATATTCTACCAACAGTCTCCAAGATGCATGCATGTGCAACTGTGCATTTTCTTGCAATAAAAACATGGCATATGCTGGTGACAAGAGAACCCAATCTTAAGTATAGTCGTGTTTTAAATGTTAAGTGCAACGTAGAACTTGATTCAAAATTATATACCCGTCTTTAACATGCAAAAGGATGTGTTTTTGAATAGCTTTTTAACAATTGACTCGAATCTGCAATAATATTGATAAACGTGATAATTTTGTCTCTCTACATGATTGATTTAAAGTTTTCAAATTTCACATGATTGAATAAGACCGATAAAATATATGAAATAAGATGCTTTATAGTTTGAATTTACAATTGTATGACTGATTACCTGTCTCTCACTGAACAGAGCTGGCCATCTGGACTTTAGTTCTGTGATCAGTGGCTGATCTCCAACGATCTCTCTCCGAAGCTGAGAAAAGGTATCAGTCATCAATGCCTCAATGAATTGGTGATCAGGGTCTTTTTTGGGCATTTCCATCTCCATTTGTTGACGCTTCTCTTCCATGTCATCACTGCTCAATCCTTCAGGGAGATCTGGACAATAGTTGACCTCACCCTTCTTCGACTTTTTAAGACGACTGTATGTATCCAAGTTTTAACAATTGCCTTCTCATTGTAACTGGAAAACCTGCACAACTTACAAGTCCACTTCATCCAGTTGCAGCAAAACGGAAATCTTCGAAAATATGTACCTGTAATAGAGAACACACATTTAGGTACATTTTCTATAAAATATTTTCTAAAAAGCAGAAATACAAATGTGTCTCCATTTCAAGAGTGGAACATAGCATTCGTACACAATATAAATGCTATTTCTGAACACAATTAGCATTTTACTCGTTCAACGGCGCGAGGCACCCCCTCCATATCTGGGCAGGTTTAGCGTGAGCTGAACCAGAAAAACGTTGTAAGGATAGAATCACTTTAACACTTGCTCGGCTTTAACAAAAAAACAATCTTCAAGTCCCCTATACTTATCCACAAATGACTTCCATTTCAAAGCCGTGGCCCAGCTACTAGAACATAGCAGGGGCTAACAAGCTACAATTGTTAGCTTAACAGAGAGCCGGGACACGGCTAATTACTGGCAGGAACACACACAACCTCTCTGAAACGCGCTAATTTAGCTTCAATATTTAGCCGTAGCCTACAGCGAGCCGGGACACGGCTAATTACTGGCAGGAACACACACATATAAACTCCCAGAAACGCGCAAATGTAGCTTTAATATTTGACCGAACAGAGAGCGAAGACATAACTAACACACACCACCTCACCGAAACACGTTAATTTAGCTTCAATATTTACCCAAACAGAGCGGGGACATGGCTAATTACTGAAACGAACAAACAAAACCTCGCTAAATTAAGCTACAAACATAGGCAGTTACCATTCAAACCTTTTAAAAAAAACACAAGCGTCATAAATAAGAGTAAGAATGCTTGAAACGTATTTATTTAATAAAAGTTTAGATAATCATAATCCTGTAATGTTAGCTTGGTAAACTGACATTTTCACAACACTCTGCCCTGAAATAAAATCTCTTTATAAACATTCAAACACCAGTTAGGTGTTGATTTAACTCCATTTAGCTACTTTTCGTTTTGCCTGAAACCATTAAACATGCAACACTCACCTCACTTTGCCTGTCCATCAGTGGTTCATCAGCCGATAAGATCTGCGTATATCCGGTACGCTGTTCATGTTCATGTTCAATCATGTTCACTCACTGTCACATCGCTTTACAAAACATATTCATCCGCCGCTTAGCTTTTCGTAGTCATCAATCTGTCCGGTTGAAGTTCTTCTTTTGATAATAGCTAATCGAACTCGGTATATACTTGATGTATATCGTAAAAAAAATTAAAAAACTCATGTCCCTGTTAAATGCCTTCAATGAATGAAAACAACTATGAGACCGGGACTATTTTCACCGGGCAGGAATATGTCATCACTACTGCCATGTTAAGAGGCCATAGAAAGTTCCAGAACATTACACAACACAACTCACACTGTTAAGTCAAATTGACTTCATAGAATGTAGAGGTCATTGAACTGGCTTACAGAACTGAGTTGAAATAATTACAACTTATGAAATTAAGTAGAATTTGAATAAATTGATATATTAAGTGGAAGTAACTTACAGACAAAAGTTAAAATAACTTAATGATCAAATCCTTTTTTACAGTGCAGGTTCTTGTTGCTACTGTTATTCTACTCACATGCAAACAACCAAACAACAAGCTAGACTTTTGAAACTAGAGGAAGATAAGGAGGACTTTTACAAAAATGTAATGGAGATTGTTGTCCAGAAGGATAGCATGGACTTCATCTTCAAGTCAAGGTAAGACCACAATTGTAATGAACATGGGATCTTACTAAGAAAGAACAATCCAATATTTAGATTTTGGGTATCCTTTTGTTGAACAGTCTGTTTAAAATGAATCGAAGCATCAGACTAAAAAAGCTTTTGAAAATAACCGACCATTTCGATTACGGTCAAAATATAATATTTGTAAATCTGACTCTGAAAGAGTCAGTGCCTCACCAGCTATGAACCTCACCGCACGTCACACTTAGACTTGTGTGTGTGTGTGTGTGTGTGTGTGTGTGTGTGTGTGTGTGTGTGTTGTTACGGACAACTGCTCAAAAGAAAATGCAGTTTGCTCCATGTATTTCTGTTAAATCGGTATGAAAAGGAACATGCCTTTATTGTGACCAACTTTGGTAGTGTATGTAATGGATGGATGATGTAAACAGAGTGTGCTTGCTTTGTCAGGGATGGATTATGCATACCGTTTGTCTACGGGTTTACATTGTGTTTGCGATTGTTGGTATGAAGACAAAGGATTATACAAGTAAACCAATGGATTACTGAATGATTGCAAAAACATGGTATCGTAAAAAAAATTACATTTCTTTTTTATTAAGTGATCATTTATAATGATGGGGTATGGTGCTTTTTATATCTTGACAAAACTGAGTGTGGATTTGTTTTAGTTTGCAGACACGATTATGTGGTATAATGCAAAAATAATGTGCTATTTGCTGTGCCTTCGCAGTAATGTTCTTTTGGGTAAAATGATTGAATCATTGCATTGTTGTTGATCTATTCTGTACAGAAAGGAGTGCCACCATTTACTGTGTGTCGGTAAGGATTGCCAGGGTAACCGCAGTTATATTCTTCTCATGCCGCAGTGAGGTAGGAAATATCTCAGGGGAGCATTGTATGGTCAACATGGCACGTTCTCCCTCTGTGAGTTAATTAGGTGTAAAAAGATATGAATAAGAGTTAGATCCTTCACTTCAGCAGGGGAGAAAAGAAGAGCGGGAAGGGAAGGTGTGAAACAGAACCTTAACTGTGACAGGTGGGATTAGGAAGCATCTGAGACATATAATACTTCACCCCATCATGTGGCGAAGTCTTATCTAGACATACACTGCTATATTGTGCCAGCTTAAGAGTCAGTATCAGCATCTGTTCAGTCGTGAAATGAAATGACGCTGGTGTTTCACAGCAAGTCATCCTATACAGATATCTGGGGGATGAGCAATGCCACACTTAAGAATGGCACAGAGGCATGGTGTATGGAGGGCTATTAAGCTGACTGTGAGCATAAAATTGTTGCCGGTTAGACTCCTAACAAGTTTTAAAAGCTTTCTCTTTTGTTTCAAACTCTAATGTAATACTCTTGTGGAGGGAACTAAAAGCGGATGGAGATGGAAATGACAATGAGAATGGGAATGTAAAACTGAGGCTTAATGTGATATATGGCCAAATTATTGATACAATTTCAGTCTGACAGTTTTGTAGAGGCAACTAAAATGATCTATAGTGAATGCTGATTGATTTGATTTAAAATACAAATTGTTGTTAGTGTTTGAACATTTATTGATACAGTTTGTAAGAAGAAAAAACATTCAGCTTATCAAGACACTGAATTACTTCTGACCCCCCTCTGAAACGAGACAAGAGAAGATTTCACTCGTAATAACTCCATATTTACCAGAGTTCATTGTTTTACTCGATATTGCAGGATTTTTGTGTCCGCTGAAATCAGTAATAAAAAGCAGACGTAGAGACGCCATGTCATTGTTTCAGTCATAAATCCTGCTTTATCAAAATAAATTGGATAATACACTTCCATCTCCTCTAGGCTATTGAGCTACATAGACCGTCCTCATTAGATTAAAGGGTAGAACTAAAGGTCAATGCAAAGAATACTAGCACAGTAAGGCTCATCTGTCCGTGTTCAGAAGACAAACAAATATATAAACATAAGTAATTTTTGTACAGAAAAATAAGTCTGTCTTGAGATCACATTTATTGCAAAAACATCCGTGCCACAGGGATCACAATTAAGGTTTTAGCAGATTCAGAAGCATAGGGCATAAATCCCATCAATATGGATATTTCTCAAATCTTCACAATGTTTCATCAAAGATTTGTTTAATTACCAGTTCTTTATATATATATATATATCTATAGAGAGTGGTGTTCTATTACAAAAATAATGCTGAGAAAGCAATTTTGTGAATCAAATGTCAGACTAAATAAATGTCCTTGCTCTACCTAAGATTGCTTAAATAACAGTTATTTTATGTGACCATGCTCAAGAACTCCTTAAGGTACCCTTGACTTAAAGCATGTGAAAGTGATTGAGCACTTCACTTATGCATTCTTCCAGTTTACTCGTTTCTCAGTTGTCATGTGTTGGATTTTAGGCTTGTTGGCCTTGTGTTAGTCTGCCAAAAGCAGTTGACTCTAGTGACATACAACTGGTTATCTTTGTTTGTGTTAAAGCTTAAAATGGTAACATCGTAGCATTCAATGTTAGATCTCTGAATATTTTTACATAAACGGGTATAATCATTTGTTATCATGTAACTGAGATTTGGTGATAGGCACAACCTCAATTTAATAAAATAAATATTAAAAACCATCTACAATGGTGAACTTGCCATCTCTCTACCAAACTACACGGTTAACATTTACAAAACTGTTAAATCATACTTTACTGCTGGAGTTCAGCTCTTACAATAGACTGTAAACATTTATCCAGTTGCTCTTTTTATCCATTGTGAAAACACATGCTTAGTTTCAGCATAATCATGTTTCATTCATACAAGACCACAATTATGCAGAAGAATGAGCAACCACACCATCGGCCATTGAGCAGCTCTACTTGAGCCAATTTGGTCTAGAGAGAAGGGGCTGTGGCAATGGGCAAGGGGGCTACAACTACAACAAGATGAACATATTTGACCGTGATTTAATTGTAATACACGTTTCAAAATTATGCCGAAGTAACAACATACTGATACCGGTTAGTAAAAATCATGAATTAATGCTTTGACAAGTCTGCAGACAGACGGCAGGCGAAAACCCCTTTTAAAATGCGTGCTTTCTAAATGTAGCTTGGCTAAGCTAACGTTATATATGCTCCGACCGTCCACACTCACAACAACGGCCTATACAGACACAAATAAACCAGCGACTGTATTCGCCATGACACAGGCAGTCTGTGGTTTGTACTTGTTTAACTTATGTCTAGTTTCTGAACAGATATGAAGAGCTGTGAGCTCTGAGTGCTAAGAGCTAACGGCTGTGTTGTTTTTTGGGGCGCTCATTGAAGATGACGTCACGGCTCCGCCTACACTGCGTTACTATAGTAACTACCGCAGTTCCTAAACTGTAATGGAAGCGCAGCATTAAAGTGAGCCGGGCCTAATAAGGCCTAACCAAACCGAGCGAGGCCGAGCGAGGCCTGCAGTGGAAATGCGCCACGCCAAGTGTTCTGCTTTCATCATTCTCCATTTTTTGCTAAAAGAGGGTCTACTCTTACTCATTTGTTCCCCTACCAGATTTTCCCATGCAGCCAC